TCTTATGGAAACTGCAAGTTGTTGATTACGTATCCAAACTGTTTTTTTTACTTCTTAGTTATAACTACATCCACTTCTGCGTTTATCAAATTTACTTCCAAAATTACCCAATACTGTTTTAGCTTCAGTTAAATTTTTTAAACTTAACTTTTTTTGTTTTCGATTCCCTTTTGATACAGTTACATACATTTTTAGGATCCCTCTAACTTGCCTACATTTAGACTACATGTATTTTTTGCACTCAAAAAACCTACATACCTTTTATTACGTTTGCCTTTTTAAAATTGGTTAAAATGCCGGCTAAGAGAAGAAAACTTTTTAGACGGCACACGGCTGCTGTCTCTGCTACAAGAGCAGCAAGGGCAAGTGAAACCACAAAGCAAACTTTGTTGCGTCATTTCTCAGATGGCCTCATGCTCTGCTGCCTGCATCTACCGCTGAACAGACTGAAAGGCTGACATCAGTAGCATCAGTTATGTCATCACAACGCGCTAGACTTTCAACTGAAAAGCGTTTAGTACAGAATTCACAGGACACAATACACATTTCTAGGGTCAGGGCTTCCGAGTCCCCAACACAGACAATCCTTCGGTGTTTAAGGAGTGTCAGCACTACAGCATGTTCTAGAGTTTTAGAAAGCCCTGAACAAACCACTTTGTGTCGTTTTAGGAATGCTAAGGCTACAGCATCTTTCAGGGTTTCTGAACGACCTCAACAAACCACCATTCGTCATTTAAGAAATGCCAGCGCTACTGCATCTGCCAGAGTTTTAGAAAGCCCTGTGCAGACCACTAATCGTCATTTGAGGAATTCCAGATCTACTGTGTCTGCCAGAGCTTCAGAAAGTCCTGGGGTATGGTGAGCACAGCTCAACAACAATAGCCAAATCGCAAGGACAGACACTCAGCGTCACTGGTCTGCATATAGGTGAACAGTGTTTTTCCCCATGGACAGCTTTACATATCCTTACTCCCAACTCGGGAGTAGCCTAACGTTTACATTTCCCCTCCAACAAACAAAGCAAAAAATATTACCTACGCAGAAGTCCTATAGCCCATGGTCGGTCATGTTTAAACACAATGTACACATCTTTATGTAAGCTGCATTGTAGGTTCCTTCATTTTTGAACCCGGTTTATTTAAAGGTCATCGTAATATCCATTTGCCATTACTATGACATTTCATTAAAGTTTGTCTTGCTCTCCAGATGCTCCCTTATCACTTAAACCCCAGCATAGCTACATTCGCACTTACACGTCGACCACGTAACCATATTCATTTGTATCACAAAACCAATACGTAGGAAGATGGATTCATTTGTCAGAGTAGTCGAGTACATCCATGCAATTCAGGCCTCATCAAAAAGAAGTGGAATAATAAAAGAATAGCAGCATGCAGAGTTATAATACCCATTCTCTGCCGTACACCATTGGTGCGTTTCTCCCCCCTTACCATAAGGGCTGCTTTAGGTAATGCTATGTGCACTTCATGCTCACCTCAACTGGATATTAAAAACTACAAAAAAAAATTTGTGCCACTTACAAGTACTTGCCCAGTACCTTCCCATACTTCTGTTATGTGATTCTGTTTGCGGTAGTGGCATCGCCGTCTTTTGGTCTACCTTTCAGGCTATTGCGTTTTACTATGTTGCAACTGACACAGGGATAATAAAACCATCCCATCGGAATACAAAGCCATCTGCCACAACTCACCAAAAACTTCCTAAGGCCTGTGTTCGTATTGAACTTGACAACTTTTAATTGGAGGTGTCTTAGTAATGGCAAACGGCTGATGTTACCATGGCTGTCTATTGCTTCCTTTTAAGCCTTACCATTTTTTTTTTCATTGTGCTGATGAATACCGACAACTTGTGTACATTACGTTTTTTATGTGGGCGGCGACTTCAGCTTTACATGCATGTACAAAGTGAGTATGGCGGTTATGACCTTCCATTCAGAGGAAGTTTAATCCCAGGCTTTACTGCTAGTCTATATATATATATATATATATATATATATATGTGATATTAACCAAATCCAGTTGGAGGAACCCCTATCTGATTGTCCAGGTTTTCAGAGGTGTAGCTATACTCAACACACTTGGCCAATTACAGGCTGGTGAGACTATTTAACATATATCTTGGTGGAGGCCAATTGGACATTCAGAAAGATGCCTCTGATTACTTCCTCTATATTCTTTTAGTATTCACTGTGCCACTATATATGTAATCATTAAATCATAAAAGTGAATGAAAATTTTGACATTTGTTTAATAAATCCTACCTGTGAGATCATAGGTTATACAAACAACTTATTTGCCATAAAAAGAAATAACAGTAAACCAAAATTTATTGTCAACTAGCCTAGAAGCCGCCCTTTGAACAGACTTTAGCACCTTTTACCTTCAGTGTCTTATGTATATAAAAGTTATAAGTATTTAGAAATAATAAAATTATTTTATCTTTATTCAATACCTTAATTCGGCATAATCTTTCTTTGTATACATAACTGATCTCCATAGGTTGTTTACATTTATTTTGCATGCAATTTTTATTTTTTAAAATCACCATTCTTTATGATCCTTTCCCATAAAGTCCATCTTAAAAGACATTAGGGAACTTGAACTATGTAATATTTCAAATACATCACAGTACACGTGCCAGAAAAAAAAAACAAAAAAAAATAACATATGACAATGTACCATGTCTCACTTAAGTTTTAATTAGACGATTGCAATTATGACAAAAGGCGAAATTAAAGTTAAACCTTTAATAAAAATATTTTTTAAACCTTTCACTCTATTCAATATTTAAATGTAACTTTAAATGAGTTATTTACTTAATTTTTAATTGCATGTAACTACAGTAATTACTACAGGTTGTCTATGATTTGCTGAGGTTGAAAAATGGACGAACAGACACACATACACTGTGCTTTATTTATATAGAAGCATTTAGCATTTATAAAATTATGAATGATCCTTTTTAGTATATTTCTATATTATTCAGGTTTTTCAAAATAAATCACCTGCAGCTGATTTCTACAATAAATAAACAAAAAACTGAAAGAAGCAAAAGTTTTAAATGTGTTTCTTCTTTCCAACATTGTGATATTTGTTTGGTCTTTGACATTTGAAGCATAAATAAATCTTACAGAGGCTTTCAGGAAAATACTTGCTCGATCTACAGAAAGACAAAAGAAAAAAAATAAAGCAGTGTATTTACCTGCGTATTAACAGGTTTTACAGGCCGACATTTATATTTAATGTTGTCTTGAAATTTGTCATTTTTACCAAGCAGGATGTAATCTTCATTAATCTTATTCAGGTTAGTGAAGTCACTTGACAGGGTTGTAGCTGGACCTTCCAATCTCTTTTTCCTTTGGAAATGAGGTTCAAACTGGACTTCTGCATAACAGAAAATTGCATGCATTTAAAGGAGCAAACACCAGGCATAAATGAAAGATGTATGTGAATACTTGCATGCAAACTGAAACGATTCTTGTGACAGATTATGCACTTATAGGTACCTCCAAAGATTTGCTAAAAAATTTGCATACATTATGAAAAAATTGCCCAAACAATAAAAACAAAGTTTTATCATCAAAATCTGTATGTTATTATTAAAAGAAAAGTCCAAATGATTTTTTGATTATTAAATTATATTTTTTAATCATTTTTAGGACCTTCAAAATTTGTTAAAATATTTTTTTCTAGCATCAACAGGTGACATTAAATTAGCATAGGAAATTTTAGCATCTTTTTGCAATGAAAAACACTTTAATTTGGAAATTCTTTCAAAAATCAAATAATTGTTAGATTTTAGTGAAACTTTCAGGTCTTATTCACAAATAAACAAAATTATTTTAGAAACATTTCTTTTTTAGAAAATTTTGGTAAAAATATATATATATATATATATATATATATATATATACACACACACACACACACACAGATGTTGCACCCCACTTACTTAATTTTATGAAATTGAGAAAATTTATTTTTGTAATGCTTAATGTTTATATTAGTTATATGCACAAGTCCTTGGAGAATTTAAATCATCAATTTCATTTTGTAAAACAAGACCCCAGTTGCCAAAAGTCTGCTCTGAATCGTAAAATAAAAAATGCAATAAAACTAAGACCTTATTGAATTAGAAAAGCTCTTAATTGCTTTTACGATATATTAATATTGACACTATTGTCTTAATAAAAACATTTTTATGAATAATTTTTACAAGAACTGTTTTCATATTTTAAAAATTTTAATTAAAAAAAAATTATAAAATTTTAAATCTTTTAAATTTCTGTATTAATTTGTAGCAGTTAGGTGATATTGTTATTAAGTAAAAACTATATTTACTAATCATAAAGTGGAAAGCTTACTACAATTCAGCAAGCCACAATATTTTTAAAATAATTTTGAATTTTTTGGTGAGTGGGCATAAACATGCCAGTTTTTGTAAATACGGACATCCATTCACAACATTATCAGAAAATAAGAATGGTAACTATATAAAATTTAAAGCCAGAATACCTAAAATTCAATAAAACATTAGATTACTTAGAATATTTTCCTAATTTTTTCAAGATTACTGGGTAAGTTTATTTTTATCAACACCTCATAAAAACAAAAATGCTTTTCTGGGATATTTTAAACTAAAAGTAATATCTGTTTCTTATCAGATTAATTAAACTTTAAATCAGCTAATGTTTGCCAAATAAAATTTCAGAAAGTATATTTTTGAAAGATTTTTTAATAAAGAGAATTTTAAATATGGTTGGAATCAGCCATTTTTTCTGATTTAAAAAAAATTTAACTCTAACCAATTTAGATTTGTTTTGAAATACAACAATGTATTTTGTTTATTGGAAATATTAAACTTAATCTATTAACTTGAAATTAAAACTAAAATAAAAGCTCCAAGAAAGATTTTTCATTTTTAAAAATTCATTTTAAATCTAAGGTATTGCTTTTCTTTAAAGGTACCTATATATATATATATTTATATATATATATATATATATATATGCAAACACCAAAAGAAACAAAAAACACATTGGTATATATGCCTAAATATAAATTTATATCCATACATAAATACAAATGTTGTTCACATGTAAACATGAATTTCAATAAGCATATTAATAAATCTATTTGTGCATATTTTAAAATGTGCATATATACACCTGAAAATTTATATAAATGGATATATCTGAAAGACAATATTAATGAACTGAAATGACAAAATAGGAAAACTCATTTTTGAAACAGGTTTCATTCTTTCAGGAATTTCATCAAAAGCAAAATGTAGAGATTTATAATTATTATTACTAGCAAAGCATTATTTATACAAATGGATTGGCAGTTTTGGCCTAAGATCAGTGTAGTATTTGTGCACTCTGCCTAGGAACAAAATGTTATTCCCAGATCTACCGATGATGATCAGTGTAATATCTGAGCACTCTTCCTCAGAACCAAGTGTCAATTCTTGGCCCTCTACTTATGGCTAGCATAGTATATGTGTACTCTGCCTAACTTACTATTTGACAAGTTAATTTTATTATGTTGTTCAACATTAGAAGTAGTAGAAAAATACTCACTGAATGACTGCTTTTGGCAGCTTTCTTGGTAAGGCAGGGAACATTTTAGCATCTTCAAATATGATACACAAATACATCTCTATTTGCACACATGCATGCACACACACACACATACATATATATCAAATATATGGTGCTGTTTTATTTATATTACAATGAATCATTCATACAAACAGTAATGTTAACGATATAAAATGGCAAATTTACTATGCTAACTCATACTTTTTGTATGAATGATTCATTGTAATATATGTGTGTGTGTCATTCACAGACAGATTGATTCACTGTATGTGGCTAGACATCCGATTGCTTCTAGCCAGGATTGAAACCCAATTGATTTGGCATCAGTTGGAGACTTTCCCTCTGAGCTATATCAGAGGAAGGTGAATTTTTACATATTTATTTTAGAATAAACATGCCAGTGACTCAGAGTGCTCAATTCATAGAAGAGCTATAGTGCATATATGCTACTTTTCTCACTAGAATATATCTTGCATATTTATAATCTACCATTCATTCATGCATGTATCAAAAATTGCTTGCCACAACTGGTCTGGTGTTGCTGCTATATACCTTGAGATACTTGATGAATCTAAAGAAGGATCTGCAATGTTATCGGACATGAGTAGTCATTTTCCCATCACCATGATGTAACTTCCCTCTGTCTTTTATATAAATATTTTCATGGCAATTGTTCTGATGAGCATTCCTACTTGATACCTCAATCACATGAATTTAGACATAGTACTAGACTGGCAATTGTTTTATTGTTGAAATAGCTAAATGTAACTAACTTCTATTCTAATAGTTTCTTTTCTTGCACTTGACGCTTGTGGAGCTCTCTTCTGGCTTCTTGCTTTCCTGTTAGCTATAATCTTCAGATGTTTAAATACAACATCAATTGCCATCCTCTGCCTTTTAGAGTCCTTTTATTATCTTTTCTCGCCACTAACTTTTTCTCATCTTCTTTCACTCTCAGTATCCCCTTGTGTCTCAGTGGCATTATCACTTTGATTGGAAAGAAACCATTAAAAAAAAAAAAAAAAAAAAAAATGAAGAGATTTTTTTATTTAAATTCTTGCCAATGATTCATATTAACCTAAAACTGGGAATTCAAATGTAAAACACATCTCCAGTTCAATAGTTTAATTGCCCTAAAAAATCCAGATATGGACTAACAATGCTTTAAAAAAAATGTGTCCACCAATATCTGATCATATAACAAATTATAAAACATGTCAAAACAAATGATTTTATTCCCAGACTTCATACAATGCTCACCTTTCCTTGTGAACTTAAATGCAAACTATATATCAAACCATCATGGACTATTTTCAAGCCAGTACATGTCCTTAACAACTAAAAAATATTCAACATGTTTGGCCACTGCTTGCAAGTTCATGCAAAAACAAAAAAAAATTCATAAAGCTGTAAAAATTGTTCACCTGCTGAAAATATATCCATGACAGTGATAAAAAAATAATTCCCTGTAAAAATAAATCAATACTCCATTGAATCTTACACTGCATTCCATGGTTACCAGATAAGTGATGGAGTGTGTTTATGTGGGAGGGTGCAACTTTTGTAACCTCAACAATCCTAAATTTTAAATTACACTACTTTCAACCTTCCAGGCTACTTTTTTTCTTCTTTTTTTTTTTTTAAATAAGCTACTTGTGATACAGATGAGAAGAAAGTCAACTGAAAATCTAATAAGTGCTGACCTTTCAAAAGTAACCCAATCTAGCAACCTTTTTCTATTAATTAGATTTTCCAATTGATGTCAGATCTCCTTCTTAGTTATGAACACTTTTTGTTTAAATTCAAATTGAATGCTATTTACACAAATGCATTAAGAACCACCTAGATAGAAATATATTCAAAACTATCAAGTGAGGATGGCTTTCTGTTAGAATATAAAGATAAGTGATTGCATACCTCCAGTATAGATGGGATTAATATGCATGCAAAATTGAGTGCAAAGTACTGCCCACCCCAAACTTCCTAATATATATAATAAATCCATATTGAAGCCCCTTCTGTTTGTTTGTTATATTGTTACTTGTTTAAGTTCTGCTGGTGACAGAGATTGATTTCAATGTTATTTGTAAAAGTCTAATAGCTTATTGCTTTCATATTTAGTTTCAGTTTAGTTTCTTTTCTTTTTTTTTTTAACAAAGGCCTCAAAATGTGAATGCTGGTTGGTTGATTTTATAACATGTCAACTGTTGTTGGGTTATTTAATGTCAAGTTTTGTATGGGAAACTTAATGAAGATCAAACTTACTACTCAGTAGTAATGGACAACCAGATTAGCCTTATTAACTGTTACTCTTTGCCCAGATGTTTCAAATTTTGGAAATTAGATATTAATGCAATTTTGAAATTGAGGGGATGGGAATGTGTACAAGATTTTCTAAATAAATTGTTAATCTTTTTCTTTTTTTTTTTTTTTTTTTTAAGCATTATGCCCTGAGCAAAGCAGGAAGCCACTAGGATGCAGGGGGTTGCAGAAGATTTGAAGCGAGAGCAGATAGGAGTGATAGAAGAAAGGATGAGGAGAAGGATAGTGGATAGATCAAAGTAACTGGAGATGTCAATTGACATTACATTTGAATAGTTGGAGATTATAGCTCTCAGGGAAACAGTAATAGGGAAGGGTGTTCCACAGGCGAGAGGTGTGACATATGAAGCTATTGGAGTAGAAGAGACGGCTACATTTAAAAGTTTCTACAGTGAAAGGGTGAGAGCAGGATGCCAGCCTCGTAGGGCACTTGAATTCATGAAGTCTGGGAACCAGTGA